TGGCCAAAGTAATCATTAAATGAAATTATTAATTTGTCAAATGCTGTGGCCGGTTCAATTTCCGTACTAACGTCAAAAGCCATAATGGTTCCGTCAGGACCAACAGGATCAGGTGACCAATTTACATTAAGTATAGGTTTATCTATGCTGAGAGCTGAACAATCTCTATAGTTACCATTCGCACTCGCCATGAAAGGCATGGTAAATAATATAAGTATTGACATAAAAATAGAGTTTCCGTTCATAGTTCCTTGCCTGCCTGAGATTTTGTTAGTAAATATACAATTATCGATGAGATAATGCCCTTTATATATGTAAACGACTAATTTATTTTGTATGCAAATTCTTAATAATCCTCTTTATTATTTGTTCATAGATATTATTATGTCATAGTCAAATGATTCTCCTAATTTGTTTATATTCAATTGTTTTGTATTGATTTAATCACTATTTCAATCGGTTATTCAAAGATAAGCTCTTATTTAATTTCTCTATATGGATGCATCAAGGGAAAACTAGAATTCGTTCATATGACTGAAGTCCGGATTTTCCTTGTTGTCACTCATACTACTCATTTAATTTATTCTTATTCACGTTGACATAGTCAGTAAGTGCAAGTTGTAATGGCACCGATGTACTTATGATCTATACCTTTCTTATTAATTTCTTTTTATTGATGCTTAATTGAATCAATAATTAATAATATAATCGATGTACTTAAGATAAACTAATAATTTCTTATTTAATCTGTATTATATAGGATTTTTCTACCAAATTCTTATCTCAATCCAATTCATATATTTTTGCTATCTCGTGATATAGTGATCAAAATCTTGATGTTTTTGATATCACTCGGATCATCTTATTAAAATGATTTGAATAGTGCCAAAATTACCAAACTTTAATTACTAGATCACAAGATATCAATTATAGATCAAAATATACGAATTTGATTGAGATACGAAAAATCCTATAAATTAACCAATAATGATATTATTTAAGTATAAGAGATCAACTAAAATAACCTATTTATGCTCATAGATATTTAATTAGTTGAAGGGTAGAGTAATCGTTTAGACGCAAATTCATACATGTGATTTATCTAGCAGTCAAATTTATAATTACCTGTTTTCTTTTTTAGGTTTCCGCCCCTGATTGGCGCGATAAAGTCTCGCAGCTATCTGGTTTAATCTGAAAAAAAATCTTTATTTTGTTACAAAATGAAAAGTTTCACATTATGATTTTATTAATTAACCTAGTTTATAAAGAGTGCAGTGCGATTTGAAAAATATATAGATCGCTAAATTGATATGAATAAATTAATATGAATAAAATTGATATGAATAAAATTGATATGAATAAAAATTGATATGAATAAAAATTGATATGAATAAAAATTGATATGAATAAAAATTGATATGA